TGTAGGACGACCCCTCACTAGATAGAGGACCTGAAATGCTTTGCAGGGAGTCGGTGGATACAGGTGGTTCAGGACCGTTCTTTATGGCAGTTAAGGGGGAGACTTATGTCAGACAGACAGCAGTGGTCGGATAATGGCTGAAATAATGATGATGAGACCCAACATACGCAAATTATTATTATTTTTATTTTATTGTTTTTTTTTTTTTAATATTACCTAAAACTTATTATAAGAATTAAAAAATATAAAAAGAAAATTAATAACGTGCAAACATCTTATATACAGTCACTCCATTCTCTTTTATATTCAACTTTTTCTATCTTTCTCTTTTTTAATCAATATAGGTATAACATAATCAGTTTCCATTATTATACATTTTCAACTTAATATAAAAATAAATTAATATATAACTAAAGAATAAAGGAAGTCGGCATTTTCCCATCTGTCATTTATCTCATTCGATACACATTTTATTAATGTAATATTATTATTTTTTACAATCATATAAAGGTTTTTATCTTTTTACCTGTACGTCGTATCTGTTTATTAGATTATGATTAATCTATAAAGACGTTAAACTAATCCGAGTTTATATAACGAAACGATGTTCTATGCGTGCCCCCTCACAGATGCGATGATAGATTAGACGCGGGTACGCTGTCGCACGGAATCGAGAACATGCCTCGATTACACACAGTCTCTTCTGTCAATTTAGCAATAATCATTGGTCACTCTTTGATTATCGTCTTGGACAAAATTAGTACCTGTCTTTTACTCGTCTGACTCTCACATCCTTGATATATTTACTACCAATTTTACTAACTTTTTATATACTTTGAAACATTATTTTACACACACCCACTCTAACTTATCTAATGTGTTTAACACTGTTTGAGACTGAAGTGGCAATAGGCTGGTCACATAGTTCGAAGAACCGATAACCGATGGGGAAGAAAGGTTCTTGAGTGGCGACCGCGTATGGGTAAACGCAGTGTAGGACGAACCCTATTAGATGGAGTGACGATCTGAAATGCGTTGCAGGCAGTCAGTGGATGCAGGTGGCTCAGGACCGTTCTTTATGGCAGTCTATGGGGGAGGCCTATGTCCAGCAGTGGACGGATAATGGCTGAAATGATGATGATGATTATGGGCAAGAGTTTTGAAAATGGATGAAGGTTTTGATTTCGGGGATATGACGTCACCCTATCTTATACCTTTCTGCACCGGTTTTTACTCTAGTTTTGAGGGCCTACCATGAAGTGTTTTCCGAAATTTCGAAGTCAAACGAAACAGAAATTAGATTACCTATCCTATCTATAACACGAATGGGATAGAGGTACCCAAGCAATCGACTTTTGTACAAAGTCTCCCTCTGGTATACACCTCGCTTATACACCTACGTATTATTGTTATTTTAAATACCTATATAAATCACATGTTTCAATTATAATAAAGGGCTTTTATGTCAAGTATGTTCTAGAACTAGCAATTAGGAGCAAAAGTGACAGTGTGTCGCCTTGAGCTGGTTTTCGATTTACTTATATCAATCTTGTAAATATAGGAAACTGGCGTGATCTAAGAATAAGTAGACATGATTTATTAAAAATAAAAATATTAAAATTTTATATTTTGCACATCCATTGCGGGTATTAACCAATCTATCTATGTTGATAACGATGCCCTTATATACTTTGACAATAAACTCTGTTATGTCAACTGTTCATATCTATAGGCGACTGTTACCACTTTCAATCATATTGGCCGTTAGCTTGTTCGTTATTCTAAATGCATAAAAAAAAAATAGATTTAAATATCTTTGCAAATTTCAATTTTTTTATTTCTTCGACTAATCTACCAGATGCTAAACTCCGATTAATATCTGTATTATCATAATAGTATAATTTTTTTATTTCAATTTTAATATAAAATATAAATATATATGTTAATATGGATTATTTAACACCGGAAGGTGTTCTCTACCAATCAAATATTGGGTAAACACATAAATGGGTTTTCGGTGAGTCAATAAGTTATAGAATTAGGTAATAAATCATAATTACGTGATGCATTTTAGAGAGTAGGCAAATATATTTGTTATTAACGTGTAGAATTATCAACATTCAAGTTATAACCTCAATTATTAAAAGGTAATGTGACAGTTATTGTAAGTTTTTAAAAAAAAAATTAAACTTGATGATTTTGTATGGAACCCCCTGATTTCCACCACCGTACAACCCGCCACAAGCTAAATTTTCATCCCAATCATCTGGACGAGTGGCGGTCTTCCACCATGCGTTTTTCAACGTGCACTTTCTTCCACGCTAAACCATTCTTTGGAATCAACTTCCAGCAGCAGTATTTTCGAACCGATAAGACAAGATAACCTTCGTAGTTAACCGGTTTCATTTATTATATACAGATATATTCCTTTTTAAAAGGGCGGCGGTAGTCACTTACCATCAGGTGAGCCGCATGCTCGTTTGCCCCCTGTGTTGTAAAAAAAAGTGTTTCTATAGATAGATAAACTTTTTATTTGAGCCATTTATGACACACGTAAATTTACAAATGAGTTTATACAGTCAAATTATTTACACTTTTCATATATACTTTTGGGTCTCAGAAGACTGTCTTATGGTCAGGTCCAATTATTCATTTGTTTACATTTCCATTAGATTTTTTTTTAATAGTTCTAAATAGTAATGCTGGTACAATCAAAATTTTAATGTTGTTAAACTGTAAAACTTTTTATTACGAAACTCTTTATAAAATTATCTGTATCGATCACGTCCTTTTGCATCTAAATTGAATGAAACGAGCTCTCACTCGCCATAAAGGGAACGTTACACAATTACGCAATTTCCGTTTGATGGTTCGTGTGAATTGGATTTATAAGGTAAATATGATAAAGGCCCATTCAGATGAAATCTACGAAGCGACACGCTGTATTCTCAAGTTGTGAGCAGTGTCAATGGAATTTAGACGATTTTGGAAGCCTTTTCTTATACGGTCGATGTATCTTTTTTGCTTTTAAAATACTAGGTTGCTTACATTGGTTTTAGAGTTAAAATGAAGGAATAAATATCAAATCCAATACTTGAATAAATATTTTTTAAAAGCGCTCTGGTATTGTAATGATAGTAGAATAGCAAGAAAATAAATTCAAATATTAGTTGCCACACTTGGCAAGTGGGTTAGCAGCCGCAGTTAGACTTTGCTGATGTTTTAAGAGGGACGCTGCTGCCTTTCCCTTAGCCAGTTCTTACGATGCGCACAGGAATGAAAGAAGTGGCCCATTCTATGTCGGGAGCACACGTTAAATTTTAATTGAATAAATATGTAAATACTTTTATAAATATACAAAAGTAATGATTTATTATATAAATATCAAACTATTTTGTTAGCTCTGAGTACAAATACCAGTGAACAATAAATTTAACAAACAAGTATTGCACAATTACTGCACTCGTTTGGTATTTGCGTGGGCGGAATTCTTTGATATTATCAGTTTAAAGTCACTTTCATATTTCTAATAAATGTTTTTTGTGATTCTTGAATTCTCTTACACTATTCGTGTAGTCGAATATAGTAGGAGATTTCAAGAACGCCCAATTGCAAGAAATAAAGACTCAATACAGAATATTCTGACTCAAAAATGTGAAAACAGGGGACAAAGAAGACATTATTCCCCGTGGGTTAGCTCATGTTTTGCATTCTAATAAACTAGTAGAATTTTATTGTTTCTTTCTCTTGTTTTACGACTTATCTTACTGAATTGGATAATTTTTGGATAAATTAATAATAGATATTACAGATTACACTAAAATTTATTTACACTAAAATTTCCTCATGAAATTAGATATAGCCCAAGCATTGGGATTTTCATATCACGTCTGAAGAATTATTACCTCTCATAATGCTGATGTACGTACTTATTATATTTGTGTAATATATATAATATATATCTATCTATTTATATGTATTTACTTATATATATTTTTATTTATTTATTTATACCTATCGACCTTTTCAATTGTAAAGACATTTTATTTATTTATTTTTAACCTTTAAATTGATCGGTACACATGTATGACTGTAACTACTAATGAACTGTCACTTTTCTCATATTGGGTTTGCTGGAAGAAATCTCTATTGGAGATAAGCTCGCCTTTGTGCACTATTATGTTTGTTTTTACATTTTAATAACCTTTTGTGTACAATAAAGAATAAAATTTATTATTTTTAATTAATAATGATAATAAATTAAGGTTCTTATATGAAACTCTAAGCTCTATATCAATATAGCCTTGGCAGGAACTGCACAAGTGCATATGGGTGTGCATTATGGGTACGCTTCGCAATATGGTATGTACACGTTGATCGTTGCAAAAACTCGATAAATAATGGTTGTTTAACAACAGCCACTTTGATGTTTGCTAATCGAAAATGCTAAGGCAATAATAATAATTTAACATAACATAACACATTTTCCTGGTATAGAGACCAGAGACACTTACTGTGAATCAATATGTAATCTATATGTATCTTGTAATTGTATCTATATATTTTTATTGAATAAATTATTATTATTAAAAAAAATTTGTTCTGCAAATTGCTAATATAAAATGAACCTACATTCATTAAACTTTAGATTTATTATTTAAATTAAAAATGTATCTGATACCAGCTTGGTGATACCAGATTACGTCAAAGAGAATATGGTAGCTTCGATCTTTGTTTTATAAGTGTGGAAAGACCTCTGCAGAAGTTCAGTTCAATAGCGTATGATAGCGTTGTTTTTCTGTATTAAAATAACATGAACTTCAAATTTTTATAAGCACATTCTTCAGGCCATCGTGAATCATATTTTTTTATTAATGGATGAAAATGACTATTAAATGGTAAATAGAAATTGGCAATTAAGAGCACACTGATTTGCCTGCATATATCGGACATACTCAAATCAAATTATGAATTTTTGATTAACATAAGTTTTATTTCAGATGGGATCCAAAACGGCGAATCACACCTACGGAAGCTTCAAGACATGAATTCGTCACGGGGTGCGCGTTGGGGACTTCTCCTGCGGGAGTACTAGCTTTACCTCGCCTAGCGCCACCCAGGCCCACTCGGAGCGCGTTGCTGCATTCGCAGTCAGCTGGCGATGTGGCCGCCATGTTGGGTAGGGCGTGACCTCGTGACATTTGAGCTAGAGTTGGTTCCGGCGGGTTATACCATAGATAATCATTTGTTTTTTTTTTTTAATTTAAATTAGGCAAAAGAGTTTCAATACATAGATATTATTACGACCAATATTTCAACTGGGAATCAAAGAGGCGCTATTAAGTCTACCCAGATCAGTTTCACATCATCAAACTAGTAAAAGATCTCGCTATGACATAACTAGATGTTTTAAACATTAGCGTTTAAATTTTTACGACTGATGAAGACCAATTCTAGATTCCATTATCATATCTACTACATAACAGCCATCCATTGTTTTAAACCGAGCCATCATTACTCAATATGCTGAGCTATATTAATCAAGATATAACAGAGGTATAAATCTGTTATGCACTACTTACAGCGACGCATTGACTATTGCCTAGTTTGCGATTACTTTTTAAACTATTACGAAAATTCGATCTTGAATTATATCAAGATTAGTTATTTGCGTGGAATATTATTGCTATTTAATTATATATATAAATATATTGGATTGGAAATAATATATCGGATATTAGCCATCAGACGTAAATTTCATTCTTGTAATGTATATCGGTATTGAAATAAAAAAAACAAAAATTGTTGACAATACTGACAAAAAGTGTTCCATTTCGTTTACTAATTGCATTAAAACTAAATTCGGTTGATTTTTAAATGTCTATTAAATTACGTATTTACATGTTGCAATGTTTTTGTAATTGGAAACGTGGATTTTTTTTTTATTTTTATTCATTTCAACTACGCATTCAAAGCGTGAAATAGAAAATCTTATTCCTTTTTTAAATTTCAGTGCCAAATTGGAAATTGTGAATTGTTGACTGACAGTGAACTGTGCGAATGTAAAACTAAATGTGGAAAAGTAGAACTACTGTATAGATTTTAGATAATGACGTATATCTTAAAAATTGCATTAATCTTGATTATAATATAGTACAAGATGGTATACGTCTCATTATATCATATCACTGTGAAATTAGGAATATCAGACATAGATATGACATTAGTCATATTTAAAATTACTATTAAACACCTACGAGGCGTTTCACATGATAAACGTCATCATTTATCTCTATTTTAGTGCCTGCATATACGCTATAATAATTGATTTTATTGTTTTAACAGAAAAATAGCTTATTTTATCAACAAGCGTAAATGTAGGTATTTATAAATGATTTACAAATAGTTTGCCCATTGCCATATTTATACGTTATCGTAGCACGGCACGGCACAATAAGAAACGATTTTATCGTCACGATACAATAGAAAAACATTATTTTCACACAATAACACATATTATATCGCAACGATAAAATCGCGCCGTGCCACGCCAAATTATAATACCTCTTTTGTTTACCTACAATACCGTATATTTAATTCAAATGAGTAACTTTAAAGAACACATAAGTTACTGGTCGTGTTAAAAATTAATATATACCTAGTATCATTGTCTTTGGTAAACTAAGTTGTCATGTATGAATTAAATATTAAAAATGATTTTTTTTTTTTGTTTTTGGTAGATGACAAGAACATATTAAAAAAGTCAAATTCCAGACAAATTATCTTACTAAAGACTAGGCAGCATGGTCTCCGACCTTAGCCTATTCCATAACGTACTAAACGTACTAAAAAAAATTAAATAAGTCAACGTGAAATAATGAATTTCAATGACAAAAAATGTGTACCTACAACTACATATACATTTATATCTATATTTTTAATTAAGTAGCAAATGTTTTGTCTTATTACAGGTTGATAATTGCCTAATTATGAAATATTGTTATTGAGAATTATGTAGTACAATATTTCATTTTCTCAATCGCTCGAGTTAATTGAATCGTGAAATACGTTTCCATCTACAACGTTCTAGAATAAAAGATAGGGTACAATAGACAAATTTGGGTATTTAGATTAAAAAGGTGTTAGTAAATGTACTTATATTATGTAGAATTTTGTAAAATCTTTAGATGAAATGTTTCTGTGGCTCATATTACGACGCACTGGAACTAGTTCCATTTTTCTATGAGTACATACATACATACATATCTGTCACGCCTGTCTCCCATTAGGGTAGGCAGAAACAATGGAACGCCAAATGCTTCGATTCAAACAAACCTCTTTCACTTAATCCACATTCATCAATCTTTTCATACACGCTCGCCGGTTAGGGGTACTTTTAATTTGGCCTTTCTTCAGCACGTCGCCTATTTGATCGACATACGTCCGTCTAGGGCGGCCCCTACCGACTTCTCCATTCGTTCTTGCTCGATAAATCTCTTTCGTAATTCTTCTTTCATCCATCCTCTCCAAATGACCAAACCAACGCAAATATTGCGAATGTTGAATGTCTATGAGTACAATCCTACAATTTAGAATTTTTGTTTATTGGCAATAAATATAAATATTTTTTTTTTTATATTGCAATTTTTTTACACTACAAAACTAGTTCTCGTGCATTGTAAAATGAATCATATTCGTTGCTTTAATATATGTATATTAGGACTCTCACACTGTCATGATGTTAGAAGTACTTAGATAATAAAACGTGTAAATGTTTAAACAAAGTAAAAACTAATTATTAATGTAATAGATTTGTTGCATGATAGAAATATCGATATTTACAAAAATAAGGGACCGATATAACCCGAAGGATCGGCATGCTGTAGTAGCGATCGGCCGACCATAGCTTGGCTTGAACCGATTAACGTGTTGAAGGTTGATGATCCCTCACCAGATGGAGTGACGACCGATACTTTAAAATATTTTAAATATTTAAACCTACATTTGGGAATTGTAAGTTATTAATAGGTTGATATATAAACATACTTCCCGATGTCTCAATCTAATGGACTCAAATTTCATACCTAGATCTCTCCGCTGTCCGAACTGAATGCATTCCCAGTTATAGCATAGAAAAAACTAGAAAAAAAAAGAATTGCAGAGTCAATGAATGCATAATGGATCAGGACCATTTATTGTAGCCATTTCCAAGGAATCCGTTGCTTTAATTATATTTTTTTTAATTTTTTAAGACACTATCTATCGTCTATGGTTAGAGTGAGAGGTCCGTAAAAATAGGTCAATACAGTGTTTACAATAACATGTCATAGACATTTATAGAGTAGGTATAATTAAAAAATTCTATTATTTTTCCAAAACTTTAACAGATCTAAATTGAATATATTTTTTTGTTTTAAATTGTTTTGTACTATATTAGATATAATAATTAACTTATTACTACCTATGGGTAGACTGTCGTCATAAAAAGATGTACTTAATCTAATGTTCAATTAGGTAAGATTCAATGCTTTAATAAAATGGTTAAATAATTCAAATGGTAGTTACATTATTTATATCTCAAACTTATATTATATAGATAGAGTCTCTCCGTAGAAATGCTTGGAGAAAAGTAAGTCAACTTTTTCATACAATTTGGCGTGATAAATAGTTATGAGTGATTCCTTTATAACTTCTATACTTATTTTGTCTTATAATTTTTGCATCTTTTTAATGCGTAAAAACTCTTTATTTATTAAACAATTAAATATAGATACGTCAAGATACATTGTGTGCGTAAGTATAAATAAAACGAGCTAGCTAATTTAACAATTAGCTGACAAAAAGTTGACTTGGTTTTGAGACTCAATATTCTATCTATATAATCTAAGATTTCAAAGTACTTGTTTTTGATAGCAAGTCACAATATTTCTTTAATAAATACCAAAGTAATACTTAAATAAAATTATCGAAAAACAATCAACTATTATATATAATAAGAGTTTTTTGTCATGTAGATTCTTTTAGTAATAATCAAAAGGATAGGTATTAGAATTTGTACTCAAATAAATAATTTAATTTTACGTAACAAACATTTTACAGATGGTACATATTATGATATTATTAATGTTTTCCAAATATCTTAGTTCTAATCTTAAGGTTTAACAACTCCACTTGAGTGATACGTAAATAAATATTAAACATAATTTAATAAATATACTTGGTTACCTCATAATACGGGCTACGTATTTATATGGAGTAACCAGGTATATTATTCATTTAAAATTTTTCCTGATCATTCAATGCCCCATTATTAAAGTAATTATTTTAAATTTATAATAATATATACGTACACGTGTATATTTAAAATCAATATAAATCAGTCTCTTGCGATTACTTGATCACTAATACACTCCCTAGCTTAATAGTGGTCAAGAGTGTGACTTCATACAAAATTCACTACATGAGTCTTGAATACCTCCGTAGAGGCATATTAATTTTGTTGTCAAGCAACTTACTTGTTACTCGCATGTTTCAAGTAAGATACGCCAGTGAAATTACTGTATACTGTGACTCATGATTTACCACGTCACAAGAGATAGCGAAATGCAAGATTTCTCTGGCTTTACAAGTATTTATAGATGTGGTAATCGATTATGACCAGGTGGATCTTACCTTAGTAGAAAAAAAGTGGGCATTTAAATACTCATTTAGTATAGTTAAGTAAATAAATGTTCATTTTATAACACATTAGTGTATATCAACATACACAAAAACATGTAATACACATCCATAAAACATGTACATGTTTGAATCGACTTCAAACAGAACAGAGTTTTTTAATTCGATTGTATATTTTTTATGTTTGTTTTCCATAAATCCATTAATTATAAACCAATTTGGAAAATTCTTTTTTCATCTTGAACTTACAATACCATAGAAATTTTATCAAAATCGCTTCCACAGAAGTTTAGTTTTTAAAACAAAATAACCGGTTATGCCACAATTGAAATCAAATTTCTTTGCAGAACACGATTTCAATTATAGCTATATAGGTGAAATGTTATTACATGTTTTATTACTTACATGTTTCATCATGATATTACATGTTTCTTTGTTTCTTTCTATCAACAAACATGTACCTAATATACGTTTTAAACAGCAGACTTGTATTTTGGTGGTAGGAGGATTTATAACACGAGTACGTAAATTTACAATTTTATCAACGAAATACAAAATAAACTCAAGTGAGAACACTATTCGACTGCAAAATGGTCTAAGATTGTGTACATAATTTTATTGTTTCGTAGATTATAAATAGGCCAAGCCAAACTGTGAATTGACGTAAGGGTTCAGTATAGTGTTAATGTATAATTTATTAGTGAACTATATTTGTGATTCTCATAAGACTAGCTTTAGAAAATGATTGTTAAACCTCAATATATAAGTATTTATCATATATGTATTAAATAAATGTTTGTTTCGATTGAATCGTCATATTAAAGTTCTTCCAAGTGATCCTGTATTGTTTTCATCATCATCCCCAGATCATCAATCACCAAGGGGAGACTTTGTGCAAAAGTCGATTGCTTGGGTACCTCTGTCCCATTCGTGTTTCTACCGTGAAGCAGTTGTGTTTGCATGGCTGTGTTTCGGTGTGAAGGGTGGGCGCGGGCGTGAATTTACAGGGTACAGAGGAATAACACCCGAGTCCGCAGGAATGGCAACACATGGGGGGTATCATGGGCGAAACATTATACTCTGTTATGTCCATGGTACTGCTCATGTCTATCTATAGGCGACAGTTACTACTTTCCATCAGGTGAGCCGTCAGCTTGTTTGCCATTCTAAGTTGTATAAAAAAATATCATATCAGCCCTTAACCCATTGCTGAACATAAGCCTCATTCTTGGTGATTTTTGCTAGTAGTTGCCATGGTTGGCAGACGGATTCGCAAATGCAGTTAGGATTTAAAGATGTTTTAAAAGGCATACAGCTGCCCATCTTTCGCCCTCTTAATCGCCTTTTACGACACCAAGGAAAAGAAAGGGCAGGTTCGGTCGATGCCAGGACCATACAGCCATTATCGTGTCATACTGATATCTATTATAAAGGAATATTTTCAATTATAATTCAAAAGCATTACTATGTATATAGTTTAGAATGGCAGTACGAAATTTATTATTTACATAATACCAACTTACTTAAACATTATCTATAATTTCCTATACAAACATAATCGAAGTATATTAACGTAAGTATCTAACCTATTTAGTATTTCAACATAACAAATTCCAAGCAATACGACTCTGTAATGTCAAAAAACCACAATAAATAAGGTTGCCACCTATAAGTTTTAATGTAACAATAATCTACATAATGACAATCATTTGGATAAATGCTGTGGTTGAATAAAGACACGGTCAGTATCGTGTTGTGGCCATTTTGTGTTTCTGTGGCACACGCATGAAAAAAAAATTGTTACTAATTGTATGCATTCTGATTTTGAATTTGTTTTTTTTTTTTTTTTTTTTGTAAATGTATCTTTTTTCTTTTTTCACTTTGCATTTGTGTCTTTTGTTGTTTGTGTGTGTAAGTAATGCAAATAAATTATTTATCTACCTATCTATCTATCTATAGTAACCCTCAGTACAATGACACAATTAATATGATATGAAACAATGAGTGGGTAGAAGAAAATACTTCTGCCTCCGAAATGGAGATATGACATCAGTCTTCTCGTGACCACGCCTCGTGTAACCCGTTTTGAGAGTCATCAAAGTGAACGAATGCATTAATTTCAATCTCTTATAAAATATAAAACATATGACGCAAAAGTGTTAAATTTAATATTTTATATATTTGAAAAATTTACATAAACTATCTTGCTCTAGTTTTTACACAACTAACTACAATTTTTTTTTTTTAAAGAATATTCATAAGTTTTTAGAATGAGATCTATATAACATGATTCCGGAAAAAAGTAAATAATCTAAGGTAAAATGGCTAGTAGTTATCAGTAATTATTATTCTACAATTTATATTTTTTTTTTTTTATTTAAAGAATATTCATAAGTTTTTAGAATGAGATCTAAGAATATAACATGATTCCAAAGGAAAAAAGTAAATAATCGTAAGGTAAAATGGCAGACTCTCGCTACGACTTTTAGAGCTGTAGAAAAAGTTATCAGTAATTATTATTCGGACTTGCATCATGGGAGTACCCAGATATCTAGTCTATTTGTTATATTAAAGATATCTCGATGTTTATACCTAATATTTTTTATTAAAAAAGTGGCTTCAATAGTAATAAAATAAATTTAGAATCGACATTTTATTTTATACAACTTAGAATGGCAAACAAGCTGACGGCCCACCTGACGGAAAGTGGTAACCGTCGCCTATAGACATGAACAGTAGCATGGGCATAACAGAGTATACTGTTTCGCCCATGATACCCCCATGCGTTGCCATTCTTGAGGACTCAGGTGTTATTCCTATGTACCCTGTAAATTCAAGTGAACATGAAAGTAAATGTACCATTTTCAAAATTTAGAATTGGTGTAGAATTGGTGTAAATATTGAAAAAAAGTTGAGTTAAACCTAAAAAATGAAAAGAGGGGACCCTGGTATTATTATTTTCATTATTATTTATTAACTAGCTTTTACTCCAGACTTTGTCCTTCAGAGTAACTCGTTAAGCAGTTAAAGCGCTATAAAGTGATAAACAAAAGCACTTTTACATTTATACATAAGGATATACAAAGGTATCGATTGACAGCCCTAGCTTCAAAAGCGACTTACTTCCTTGTTGAAATAGGCCCCGATGCGGTACCAAACCACAATGGGACGATGCTATCAACTGTTATTCAACTTGTCGTGGGCTTTTTCACACAACTAAAAAGGTTTCTTGAGGTGAATTGCTCGTTTACTATAAAATATATTTATTGTAATTAAAAATTTAATACTTTAAAAGTACTAATAAAATATGAAATATAATATATACTTCAATATTATTGTTATCGTAACTGAAAAAAATAAAAAAAATATCAGAAATGAGCTAAATATTCTAATTTTATACTTACAAAGTATTCATTTTTAAAACTATATGATTTGCATCGATTTATTAATAATTAACTTAGAGCCTTTGAAATGTGGTGCTGGAGAAGGATGGAGAAAATTAGCTGGTGATATCGAATTAGCAATGAGGAGGTCCTGCTTAGAGTTAAGGAAAAGAGACAAATTATTAGAACTATTGAGGACAGAAGGGGAAATATGTTGGGACACTTGATACGACACGATAAACTTATGAACATTATAGAAGAAGGTAAAATAGAAGGAAGGAGGGGAAAAGGGAGACCGAAGCTAGTTATATCAGGCAGATCAAGGAAGGAGTTGGTGTCGTGTCGTATCAAGAGGTGAAGAGACTCGCTGAAAATTGTAGTGAGAGGCAAGAGTTCCACAGACAAGAGCGCAGCTCTTAAATAGGATAGATAGATTAATAATTACTTAATGTTGTAAAAAAATTGCTCGAATCAGATTATATGTATAGATAGAGTGTCTCCATACAAATGCTTTGAGAAAAGTGGGTCAACTTTTTCATACAATTTTCCTTAATAAATAGATATAAGTGATTTCTTTATAACTTCTATATTTATTTTGTTATATAAATTCTGCATCTTTTTATAAACCGCAAAAACTCATTGTATTTATTAAATAATTAAATATAGATACGTCAAGGTACATTGTGTGCGTAAGTGTATAGAACACTAATAAAAAAACAAGTCAGCTAATTTGACAATTAGCTTTTTTTATATCCTACCTTTACGTGCTGATGATGAATTAAAATGTCGTTCATCTGTGTACTAAATTTTACTCAAATCTGTTCAGCAGTTTAAACATGATAGAGTAACAAACGTAATTTAAAAATTAATAAGATCTATTCTGTATATTATTATATGGTCCCGTGTGGTTCCGCCATAGAACAGGCTACCTCTTTTCCTGTGGGTGCCGTAAGAGGCGACTAAGGGAATACGAGGGATGGGCAACAGCGTCTCTCTTAAAACATCTCTAATGCCGAACTGTTGAAAAATTTTGAAAATCCGCCTGCCAAACGTGGCAACTACTATCAAAACCCCCCAATTGGGAGGCTTATTTTCAGCATTGGACAGTTAAAAGTTGTTATGTTAATAATTCTGTATATTTAGCGTTCACCCGAAGAGACCTTTTTATCATACAATGGAAATTGTATCTGACTGTAATTAAGTACTAATTGTCACTTGTTCAACGAATGCCGTAATTTAATTGGGTGTTGTGAAGCCATCGTTCTGCTATTCCAGTCACCTGTTTGTCTGTCTGTTGAAATATCTTCGTTTGCGTATGATGTTTAATAGTTACGCAAAATTAGGCTCAACGGGAATATAATGGAGACCTTTGTTAACACTTCGAGAAGAATAAACATCTTAGTTTTAGTTTTGCTTGGGCACCTCTGTCCCATTCGTGTTTCTACCGTGAAGCAGTTGTGTTTGCATGGCTGTGTTTCGGTTTTAAGGGTGGGATATGGCGTGAATTTACAGGGTACAGAGGAATAACACCTGAGTTCTCAGGAATGGCAACGCATGCGGGGTATCATGGGCGAAACAGTATACTCTGTTATGTCCATGGTACTGCTCGTGTCTATAGGCGACGATTACCACTTTCCATCAGGTGGGCCGCAAGCTTGTTTGCCATTCTAAGTTGTATAAAAAATGAGCAAAATTTTGTTAACAAACTAACTAATAAATTTTATAACTTAATAAATTTTATGTATATATATTTTCCCCGACAAACCAATGTTACATTTACCACAACTGCAACAGTCGATACCCACCGACCGTCTGATTAGAGGTTACAATCGTGACTGTATCATTTTTATTCCATTTTTAAAACGCTTAACTCCTCTTAAACAATTTTACAATGTCCACACATCGAATTGGAACATTCGTGAATATGTCATAACACATACTTTGTGATTGTTTTCTAAAAATAGTTATAATTCAATCTCGTGTGGGCATCCATCGCGGTTGCTAAATACAGAGAACGGATTTTTGATATTTCAAAACGCTACAGTTGCTTTTACTTTAGGATAGTGTTGAGAAAGAACCGATATTGTATTACATCGATTTCGTATTCGATTACGTGAAACTAAATATCGATACGGCCGACGGTTAGCAGCTCGTCGAGATAAGTACCTGACATAATATGTCTAAATTATGCCTATTATACTCTTCATCAGGTCTTTAACCAATGCGTGTTGCCAGTGAAGACTTACGGAAACGAAACGCGGTCCACGATTGCTCGTATGCAAAAGGTACAAGTGACTCAGCGGGCTATGGAAAGGGCTATGCTCGTAGTCTCTTTGCGTGATAGAATCCGAAACGAGGATATCCGAAAAAGAACCAAAATAACCGATATAACCCGAAGGATAAGCAAGCTGACGTAGCAATGGACTGGTCACATAACTCGAAGAACCGACAACCGATGGGGAAGAAAGGTTCTTGAGTGGCAACGGGTAAACGCAGTGTAGGACGACCCCTCACTAAATGGAGTGAGGACCTGAAATGCGTTGCAGGGATTCAATGGATGCAGGTGGCTCAGGACCGTTCTTTATGGCAGTCTATGGGATAGGCTTATGTCCAGCGGTGGACGGATAATGGCTGAAATGATCATACTCATCATCATCATCATTTGAGTAGTTAAATGTCCACTGCTAAACATAGGCTTACCCCATAAAGGAGGGGTTTTGTCAGTACTTGCCACGTTTCGCAGGCGAGTTGTAAACCGTAGTTTGGCTTTTAGTGATGTTTTAAAAGGGACGCTGCTGCCCATCCTTCGACCATTAAGTTCCCTTCGCCTCTTACGACACCCACGGGAAAGGAAGGGATGGTCCATTCTATGCCTAGAGCATACGGCAACACTATTATACTATTCTGTGTCAATGGAAACTTAATAAAAATGTAACCAATTTTTCTGGAACTTATCGTAGAAACACTCTTTAAATTAGTAACAAATAGAGATATCCGATCAATTAATAGCTTTTTGAACTGCACTGCTGTTGGACATCAGCAGTTTGTCTTAGCTCTCTTTATTAACTTTTTAATTAAGTTCTATTGATTGAAACAAAAAAATTGTTAATTGACTTTTCGGATTTTTATAGAATTCTCGCTATAATAAGTAAATAATAATATTATAATCGTCATATAAAAAGTATTTTAAACTTTAGAGTAACGTACTTTCGTTCGTTACATATTTATGTTACGTATACGTCCCTGTTTTGAAGAAAAAAAATCCACATAAGAAAATAATCACTTCTGATTTGGATCACGTGTGCGTGTGCGTGTGCATGCGCGTGCGCGTGTCCGTGTGCGTGCGTGTGCACCTGCGCGTGCGCGTGTGCGTGTGCATGTGTGTGTGTGTATGTTTTATATACGAACTTTTTTTTACAATGAGCCCAATAAGTCAAATACTTAATCGAATAAAGAATAATGCCACAATCTGATTTAACGGTAATATATTTCGAAACTAACTGCCTATCTTTTATCAAAACTCGCTCTTGTTATCAATTTGGACTACCTATTTATTGTACTTATAATGACTGATTAAAATTAATTGTCATAAATAATTGCTATAGAATAATTTATTGTCTATGCTATAGATAAAAAAAAAACATTAATTTTAATTCGTTCATTTTAAATTTCGAAACGCTCGTGCGCTCTGTCAAACTTTCAATGGCCAGTGACACGTTACATTATCAAGATGTGCCATGTTGTTATGGGCATATCAAGAACTGTTTCTTGTTCTTGTAGCTTAACATGACACGACTTGACAACCCTGATGACCATTAGTCGAAAAATTGGACTGGAGATTAGGATTATGAAGTAAGGGTATGTCCAAACTGTGAATTGTCACCTTCCAGCATTTTATCGGATGATTTTTTCCCACGTATTTAATATAATCATAGATTAAGCTTGCACGATTTTTGTTCACCTTGCATGTTGCTATAGGTATTTTATTATTATTCATTATTATCTAGACGGAATTTAGTGATTCTTATATACTCTATGGTTTCATGTTTTAAAAATACGTTGTAAACTGTCAATCAATAATTTAATTATTGGCAAACGCGCTGCTTTTCAAAACTATTATAATAAGGTCATCATTATTCATCGGTCATCACATTCATAGGTCATCATTATCATTGCGAATCTTCATTTCAGGTTTCTAATACAATTGAAAAATGCATATATTATAATTTTAGATTATATAAATAGAGCATCGAGCCTGAAAAATAATACAACTTTTTGTCAGCTAATTGTCAAATTAACTGACTTGTTTTTTTATCAGTATTCTTTATATTTATATATAAAATATATCTAGAACGTATTACTTAATAAATAAAATTACGCATTAAAAAAATGCAAAAATTATAAGACAAAATAAATATATAGAATTTATAAAGGACTCACTCACAACCATATTTATCACGCAAAATGGTATGAAAAAGTTGATCCGTTTTCCTCGAAGCATTTCTATGGAGATACTCTATCTATATACTCTAAGATTAGCTACAATGTATACAAAAATTTTAAGCTAATATGCACAGATGTATGTATATTTATAATATCTCAGTGATCTCAAAGAAATTTTTTATCGTTAAATAATTAATTTTTTTTTTTTAATTTTTTTAATTACTTGTTCTTGATATTATAATGATGTTAATTAAAGAACATCTTATATTTGAAGTAGGTTGAAATTGCTTTAGTTTAGTCACATAATTTTATAACAATATTATGTTATTTCTTAGATTTTATTATCTAATTCATTCATTTATTGATTACCTTACTATTAACGTACTTAATGTAAATAATTAACAAATAATCTCAATACTGTGACAATTTTTTACTAAGGCAATACATACTTTCTTTTATATTACGAGCATTTTCTGAAAAAGAATCAAATAAATTCTTTTTTATATAAAGCAGATTGTAGATATATAACTAATTGGATTTATAATATTTTACATACGGGATAAAAAAAAATGCCGCGAAAAATCAAGCGGTGAAAAACCATAAAGTGCAGGTCGACCTCCTCGCGGTTCTCCCTGGAAAGTATCATGGCTAATTCCTGATGAATTCATCATGATGGGCTAACTGGCCTGTTTTCATTCTCATCTATCACCCTTCACTGGTGCTCCGCCAGCGTATCCCGTTAGCGCAGGCGGGGCTACCAAACCTTTTTCACCCATCAAAAAAAAACCATAAAGTGCATAGACCCTAATAGAGTTTAAAAATCACTCAACTGTAAGTGATTGATTGAGATGACCGGATCTCTAACGTCGGGTCAAGGACTTTTTTACAAAGTGACAGTTCACAAGTAAATGCTCTTTTGTAATATTTTCTTAACATTTCAAAAGATTACTTACCTTTGTGAGAATTAGGAATAATTATATGTAGCAACAATATGCATATATAGATTCGGATGCGTGGGTTTAGTATTAACAAAGATACGCGAAACGGTAGATCAAAATTAATTGTGTGGGTGTATGTGCAAATACGAATTTTCAAGTACTTTGGCCGTATCATCCGGAATGAAAACTGTATGGAACGTCTAATTGTCCAAGGAGCGGTACAACGCAAACGTTCTCGAGGTAGATCACCAACGCGATGGACTGACCTCACCAAAACGGTCACACAGCAGTCTATTGTGGAATGCTCTCGCTCGGCTGTGAGCAGAAGATGGAGACGCATTGCGAGGACCTCAATCGCGAAGGAGGGCCTCATCGACGATCCACTATCATTATAAAAACCATGACCACTATGTCAAGAGTGTACGAAGAGATGATAATAAAACAAAATTTCCTGCAATTCGAAACGCGCACGCAATCATGTCCGTTCCCCAAGTTCTAAAAAACAAATCCGCCATGTAAGGTCCTCTTTTCTTATTTGCATTAATAGGCTTCAACAAAATCTATCCATCTATACCAGAGGGAGACTTTGAACAAAAGATGTTTGTTTAGGCACCTCTGTCCCATTCGTGTTTCAACCGTAAAGCAGTTGTGTTTGCACGGCTGTGTTTCGATTTGAAGGGTGGGATATGGCAGTGAATTTATAGGGTCCAGAGGAATAAAACCTGAGTTCTCAGGAATGGCAACGCATGGGGGGGTATCTTGGGCGAAACAGTATACTCTGTTATGTCCATGGTACTGTTCATGTCTATAGGCGACGGTTACCACTTTCTATCAGGTGGGCCGTCAGCTTGTTTGCCATTATAAGTTGTATCAAACAAAAATGTTTGTATGTATTTTACAGTATCGACTGAAGAAAATCGAATGAAATTTGGTACACGGGTAGATTAAATCCTAACTTAACAAATAGGTTACTTCATATACTGATTCCTGCGGCTTTCCCTGCGGAGAACTAGTTGATAATACAAATAAGGGACTACTCACATTTATTCAGCTATTCATTCGTGTTTCGCTGAACGATTTTGGTCACACATATACAGCCATATCAGCCGCGTACGGTGTCGTAAGAATGAGAAAAAAATCAAATCTGAAACAATACAGGCCGCAACTTGTCGACAAGGAGTCACGAAACAATCCTGTAAAGAGCTGTTTCGCCGCGTTCAACGGTGAATGCGGCGGAACAGCGCTGAACGCTCTCTATAGCATTTGCATGAAAATCGTCGTTTTCTATGGACAAAAGCTGAATAGAGCTGAATAAGTGTGAGTGGTCCCTAAATAGAGTTACTATCTAAAACAAACCCAACCGTTCGGTCACGAAATTAATTTGCTTATATTTGTAAAGGATTGTTTTTAAATATGTATGAAAACTAGGATAAAAGTATAACGAAAACAAAATAAATATACCTATTCACTTTCATATTACCTAAGTATGAGATTAATTCCGTCATATGAAAAACAGAAATTGACTTATTAAATAATTAGATTCCTATTGAAAACATAATGAGAGTAGAGATGGGCAATCCACCTGGGTGGGTTTAAAGTCTGGTGGGTAAAAACCGGGTGTTTTGGGTTTATTGTTTAAACCCCATAAACACCCAAATTTTTGGGTGTTTATGATTTTGTACTTCATCATCGTCATCTCAGCCGCAAGACGTCCACTATACTGGACATAGACAATATTATTATGCAGCCTACAGAATAAAAAACTTTTAATTTGATTTTGAGTTTATTAAGAAAGAGATGAAAGTAAAATGTAAAACTACAGTCAATCACTGTCAGATTCAGAGTTATTACAAGCGATGAATTGTATAGGTTCGATAGGCTCTATTTCGTCTAAACTGTTATGTTCATTTACTCGCTCAAAAGCTTCTAAGGTATTTTCTTCATTAAACTGAATGTCCTCGCATTCAGCTTTATGTTTAAGATTCCAGTTATAACAAATGAATGAAATTTTTTCAGTTCTTTCAGTTGTAAGTCGATTTCTTTTGTTATTATGTATGTAGCCTTGGATACTAAAGGAACGCTCAGTGGCTGCCGAAGTACAGGGAGCTGATAGAATACGAATCGCTACTTTGCTTAACTCAGTGGAACCACAAATACCTTTCCACCATATTAGGGGCTCAATGCTATCTAATGAGCTCCATACAAATCCTCCGGCCCAAAAGTTTTCTTTAGCTTTATAACACGCCAAATCTGCCATTACATTTGACAAACTTAAGTGTTGGCTTAAATTGTAGATAAACTCCATACCCTTAAGTTCTTCCTCTTGAGTAAGTTCGACTCCTAGAGTCCTGGGGTCTAGAATATATGCTGCAAAATGTATTGGCCTCATTGCCATATTGCATCTTGAAGATACTGATGTTAGAATCTGCTGTTTGCTTTCTTCGCTCAATGTCGAAATCTCATTTAATGCAAAACGTATCTTAGCTTGTACATCTCTAAATGTAATGTATGTGCGATGCAAACGATTCTGGTCGCTCTCTAAGTAAAATATGCTTTCAGTGACTGGTTCCAAAATACTTATACATTCCCCTGTCTTCGTCCAGAAATCATCACTTAGAATTAAATCTTTAATATCTCTTGAAATTACCACATCTTCTCTAACTGTTAATATTTGCAAAGCTATCTTATTTGCTTTCAAACTTTTTAACGAAGTAACATGACTTCCCCATCTTGTAGCACAAGGCAATTTTAGTGTTTGTGTAGAATCTTCACCCTGCCTTGATTTTATCAACAAGGAACTTAATCGTTGACTCCTTTTAACAGTTTTTATTATATTTATGGCTTGCATAATAAACACAGTTACTTCTTGTATCTTTACAATATCTTGGCACAACAAGTTAAGTTGGATATGTGCACAGCAACCGAGAGGAACAACATGTGGATATTTGAGTTTTGTTAATTCGAATGCCTTTTGTATATTTCTAGCGTTATCGCCAATAAGTACAAGAAACTTATTTGCTCCATACACTTTCATTACTTTTTCAACTTCTTGGCTAAGGTATTCACTAGTGTGAGGATTACTTTCTGTATTCAAACTTTTAACGTATGCAGGTTGAGGTTTTGATATAAGAAAGTTTATTATTCCTTCATTTCTTAAATTAGACCAGCCATCGCACTGAAGGTGTAAGTAACTACAAGCATTTAGTTCCTCATTTAACTCAAAACGCATTTCTCTATATATTTTATCTAAGTATTTTGTCGCTAAAGCTTTACGTGAAGGTATTTTAAATTTTGGTTGCAATTTTTCGAAAAATTGTATCCATAAAGGATGTTGCACCATCGATAATGGCGTCCCTGTTACAAATATAGCTCTTGCTAATTCTGTTTTTATATGATCATCGGTGTCTTGAAACTCAGCATTTATTGTAGTATTAGCAGACGACGAGGGGCTTATAAAAGAATCATTTGTCTCTATCTCTGACAGTCCAGACATTTTGGTTTTGGACGAGCTATCTTTTATAAGTTTCATAGAGTCTTTTAATGTTTCTGGAGATTTTGGACAAGTGATAAGATGTTGAAGCATTTTGGCAGCATTACTGAATTTGTAGACCTTATTACAAAGCTTGCAAGAAACAGACTTGTTTGGTAAAGTACGGTAGTGCTCCCATATGCGTAAATCTTTAGGTCTCCCCATTGAACCTAAAAAAATGAACGATGATTAGTTGGTCTGACGAAAATTCAACAATAGAGTGCCTATTTTTTTACAATGATTATTTCTTGTTATTTACAATAAATTTATTAAAAAAATAATAAAATAAATACAAAAAACCTTTGTAAAATTACATCTCCTCGGAGGATTAAACGCAGACGCTAGTTTATTATCGTATTGTTCTGTATTTTTCTCAGCAACTTCTTTAATTCGATTAGGTACTTACGCATATTATGTTAAAAATAAATATCTAGTACACATCTTAGGCTATCCACCATTATTATCCAATGACGACTCTCAGCTAACTATGCACTATCATCCAAAATAAACGTGTATGGAAAATTTTATCCCAGTCGGTTGAGGATTGAGGATAATTGCATCAACATACGAACATACCTACATACTTTTATTTACATAACGCAAGCTAAATAAAAGCTTGTAATAATACATCTAATTTTAAGTTAAAATTGTTAAGTGATCATGATATAATTGTATCATTCAAAAATCCACTTACCTTTAATTATTTCTTGTTAAGTATAAATATTATTTCAAATCTGCTCCCTTAATATGCACTTTTTTACTGCTTTTCCTACCTAACACGTTACCAGGAAGTCACGTTACCAGAGTCAGAGTAATAGTGAACACGTTTGACAGTGATTGTCGTCGCCTCATATTCAGCGTCGACGAATAGGGGGATCCCCAGTCATAATGTATTGCATGCGTGGCGGTCTTACTTCAAATCCATAAACAAAGAGATAATTACAGAACTCGATACTAGATGGCGCTGTTTTTGTTTGAAGAAAGTTTGCGGTTTAGCCCGCATAGATTTCATCAATGACTTCCACAAAGAACAACATTTCTGTTTTTTCTAAGTCCGTATCTCTTCCGTATATTTCATAAGATATAAGCTTGGGCTACATTGTTATGCAACGTGATTTTGTCGCTGTCTTGCTAGCAGGGTTGACAGATATACGATTTAAATCGTACTCATACTATTATTTGTCTATTTTTTAATGTACGATCGTAAAGATTATGATCGTAATTCGCACAAAAACATACGACTTTTTGGTTACCTGGCAACATTTTTATTATGAAACGAACATGCTCAGATCATCAGTCACATGCAACAATTTATTGGGGATTTCCCCTTCACATCTGGCAGTCCTGCTTGCTAGAATATAGGTAAGTCAGCCACAGTTACTGACGATCGATATTTAAAGGGTATTGTTTTTGTGCTAAATATTTCATAAAAACGTTATTTAATACTTTGTGGATTATTAATTTAGTTGATAATCACTGGAAGTAAAATGGATGCTAATTTGAGAGATCAAGATCTTCGTATAAAACAGTTAATAAAAGAAAATCTACGTAAGTACTCTTTTTATACCTAGGTAGGTAAGGTATAATAAACACAAAAGGTACTTAGATCGCGTGTGTTCGAAGCATTTATTCTAATAAATTTAATTTAAAATTGTAGAAAGAAAAAAATGTCTGCCAAGCCGTAGCCGAAGCCGATCTCCAAATATATTTGGCGATAGTGAGACCCAGTGTCCAGATGATTTACCCAGCGTCGTCGCAACAAAGAAAAAAACGAGGATAAAGTAAAAGAAAATTTACTGAAAGAAGAAACAAACTGTTCTAAATGCTTAATTTATGGAGAAGAGGATAAAAGAAATGAGTATTTCGGACTGTTATTGGCTCAAGAATTTAAATATATACGGCCATGTGTGCGAACGAGGTGTTATGAAGAAATTTTAAAGTATCTACGGGAAGCAAAAGGCCAACATGTTGATCAACTGCAACATGAAAACACTGAAAATTAATTACTTTCATTTTATTATATATAGATTTTTAAAATTTCCTGAAATATTATTAGTTAACGTTTTATTTAATATTGTAGAATTGATCAATACAATTTATAAAAATAATTTATTGGTATTACTTACATATTTTCAAAAAAATACGTAAAAACCTATTTTTTTGGGTGATTATGGGAGTTTATGGGTGTTTATTGGGTTTTTACCAAAGCACCGGGTTTAAACCCGGTGCTTTGCCCATCTGTAAATGAGAGCTCTTAGTAATTTGACATGAAATAATTACGTAACATATTACAAAATAGGTACAAAATACTAAGTACGAAAATTGTCGCCTATTGCTTTATTCCAGTATCTTATAGTTATACAAGATATACAGTATCCCTGGTCAATTGATTATTTATTTATTTATTTTTAGAAAAACATACAGCTGAATGGCAATCAATACATAGTCAAATGATATCTATGTTTTTTTTTTATGGATGAAAATGGTATGGTAACCCCGCCTGCGCTAACGGGATATGCTGGCGGAGCACCAGTGAAGGGTGATAGATGAGAATGAAAACAGGCCAGTTAGCCTATCATGATGAATTCATCAGGAATTAACCATGATAGTTTCCCGGGAGAACCGCCAGGAGGTCGACCTAGTTGGGTATATTGCTAGCAATGGGATTCTCAGTCTCCATTACTAACAATCCCTTTCCCCCCAAATGATATCTATGTTGAGCCATGAATAGTTTTCACATTTGCCTAATTACACAATTAATCGGATTTTTTTTTATACAACTTAAAATGGCAAACAAGTTGACCGCCTATAAACATGAGCAGTACCATAGACATAACAGAGTATACTGTTTTGCCCATAATACCCCCATGCGTTGCCATTCCTGAGGACTCAGATGTTATTCCTCTGTACCCTGTAAATTCACGCCATATCGCACCCTTTAAACCAAAACACAGCTATGCAAACACAACTGCTTCACGGTTGAAACACGAATGGGACAGAGGCACCCAAGCAATCGACTTTTGTACAAAGTCTCCCTCTGGTAAAAGTATATAGTACAGTATGCAAAAATGAATATATATTTTCAAATTTTGATGAGGCGCACCTTTTACCTTATTTTATAATAACAAAATAAAAGCAATATAAAGCCAAACAACATTATTAAAATAGTCAATTTAGTACAGCAGTTATTAGAATTATATAATTTCGCTACCATTACTATGTGTACGACTGCCAACACTAGAAGACTGATTACTATTATTATTACTAGAAGTTCCATAACCTTTCATTAGCCATCAATGGGCGTATGGAATACTCATGCTGTCCGTGCACCCCATTCATTTCTATCTCGTACATCTAGAGTCGTGGAATGAGCTCCCGTCTTCAGTTTTCCCTTTACAATATATTGTAATGGGGGGAAAGAGATTGTTAGCAATGGAGTTTCACAGCCCCATTGTTAGCAATATGCCCTATTAGGTCGACATCCATGTGGTTCCCCCTGGAAATCATCGTGAACAATTCTTGTTGAGTTCGTCATGATGGGCTAACTGACCTGCTTCATCCACACTTATCATCCTTCACTGGTAACCCGTCGGTGTATACCGATAGCGCGGGTGGGGTTACCATTCCATTCTCATCCATTAAAAATATATATATATATATATATATATATATATATATATTGTAATATGGGTAATTTCAAAAGGTCAACAAAGCGATTCCTTTTGTTGCACATGCTCATGGACGATGGTAGCCGCTTTCCATCAGGTGAACTGTCTGTTCGTTTGTCTCGTTAACAATAAAATAACTCCACCACCATTCCATCCACGCACGTTTTACGACACGGGTTTCACTTCTAAACTAGTGTTAACCGTTCAGAGCGTCCAAAATGTGAATGACTCATTTTAAAATATTTATAGAGCATCCTACACATTGTAGCTATCAATACAAAAATGCTGTGTCATGTTACAACAAGCTATAATTATATATATAATTATAGCTCGTTATATTATATTATAATTTATATATATAATTTATAAAATAACTAATTAACTACAATTACCATTTTCCATCAGATAAGCTGTCAGCTTGTCTGCCATTTTATGTTACATCCGATAAAAAAATATGATTTTTAGTTTAAAACTAGGTAGTTTATGCTAATGATGCGTTTGGCCTTGGCAGAAAGATTTAAAACACTGCTACCTTATTGCCTAAGTTTACAAAATTGTTTTCGTTAAAAAAAATAAGTATTGCATTTTTTTACTTATTTCAATGTTTTCTCATTTTAAAATCTTTAGTTTATTTCTATAATATTTTCTTTTTATAAACATCCCATATTTTACCAGAGGGAGACTTTGTACAAAAGTCGATTGCTTGGGTACCTCTGTCCCATTCGTGTTTCTACCGTGAAGCAGTTGTATTTGCATGGCTGTGTTTCGGTTTGAAGGGTGGGATATGGCGTGGATTTTCTGGGTATAGAGGAATAACACCTGAGTCCTTAGGAATGGCAACGCATGGGGGGTATCATGGGCGAAACAGTATACTCTGTTATGTCCATGGTACTGCTCATGTCTATAGGCGACGGTTACCACTTTCCATCAGGTTGGCCATCAGCTTGTTTGCCATTCTAAGTTACATAAAAAAACAATCAATATTATGCCATATTATTGGCAAATAACTTCACTTTAATAAACAACTTAGCTTACACTGAAAAATTTCTTAATTTAAAATTTGTAGATTTTTTATGCAATTTATGGAAATAAAGTAAATTTCACACGATATAGTGCAAACATTTAGTGCAATTTCTAATAAATTGTACGTTCGTTTATTGGCAAACGAGGTAATCGTATAAATAAGATTTATTTGTATACGATGAAATAAAGAGTTAATGACTTTATAATAGCTTTTAAAATGTTCTATTAGGTAACATTTACCAATATTATAAATGTGAAAGTCGGTATGTTTGTTACCTGTTTACGCTTTAAAAAATCTATCGTCACAAAATTTTGTTTATATTTTACGTACTATTTGGGACACGTTTAGCTTACACGTACTATTTGCGATTAAGAAGGATATAAGCAAATTTCTATTCCTGATAATTTAAAACAAAACAAATTTAGTTTTAACGGATATCATCGTTTTTTAATAATTATGTAATCAATGTTTTTGTTCCAAATAAAGAATTAATATTTTTTTTTATTTTTACCTAAATTCTCATCTCCCCTCTTAAGGAGAGGGGATGGCAAACTAACCCCCGGCAGAAGCACAGTCGGCCGGCGTTCAGGGCCCCAGGGAGAGAAACCGGCGTACGATGCGGGCAGTATCTAAGTATCTATTATATTTTTATTATGATTCTACACTAACAGATATCACTTTTTTCAATGGAATTAAAAAAAAAACGAGGTCCTTAATTCATCTGTGTTTTTTTTTATGTTTGTTACCTCATAACATGATTGTAATATGCCAATTTAAATTATTTTTTAAGAATATATTAGACCATAGAATTTTAATTAGCAGTTCAGTAGTTTAGTTTTGAAATTAAAATAATTAGTTTTATCACAATTGAAGTCGCTTTTTTTTTTCAGAACAGAGTCTTAAATTTCTTTAGATTTCTTTTTAGTTATTTTTTAAGAAACATACCAAGACATTACGCTAATATTAACCCTTAAATACCTGAAGTTTCAAATTCGATACCGGAGTTATAAATCAATCAATCGCATTGGGCGCCTACAATCGATTTTATTTTAATATTTGACTGTTTACATGTTACCAAATGTTTTTTTTTTTTTTTCAAAATAAATATATAAAAATATCGTTTTAATTTTTTTTACTATTTTTCCCCATTAGTAAACACAGTAAAGGGTACACTTATATTTTTTTAATTTGATTTAAAAAATCAGGCTTTTAAAAGTAAAAAAAAAAACAATACCTCTAATATATACTGATTTAAACATTGTTGTATTTAGAAATGACATTT